TGGAACAGTGGCCTGTGACATCCAAATAATTACAGGCCTTAGGCTAGTACAGGAGCAGTTAAATGCCCAACATATTGAAGAATCAACCAATCCTTGGTATTCTCCTATATTTGTTATTTAAAAGAAATCAGGAAAAAGGAGAAAGGTAAACACATCGAAGAACTGTTAATAAGGTGATTCAGTCAAAAGGGTGTGTTTGGAATTTCCCTGCCTTCTCTATTACCTGAAGGATTGAATATTATAGTTATTGAGTTAAAAGACTGTTTCTTCACTATACTTTTACAAAAAGGATGAAAAATTTGCCTTCACAGTGCCTACTTATCATGATTCTCAACCCATTAAGAGATATCAATAGAAGATTCTCCCTTGAGGGATGTTAAATAGCCTAACCCTGTGCTAATGTTTTGTTAGACAGTCATTGGAAATAATTTGTGTACAATGCCCTCAATCTCTTATTGTGTGAATTCATTGTGTCAATAGCCTTTTGGGTCTATAATGGTCTGATAAGAGCTGATGAAAACCATGCTTGCTCTCTTGGATGGTGGTCAGAGTTCTGTTCTCAGCTTCTGGTGCCCAAAGAGGACCACAGCTCTCTACCATTAATGTTTTTCCCAAATAAATACTTGGTATACTTTATTCTGGGTTATCATGGACCCTTGTTAATTACACCTACAATCTGTAATTTTTCATTATATAGAACATTTTACTAGCTGATTCAAATATAGATACTTCAAAAAATGTTTGAAGAAGAAAATTTTGCCTTGGTGTGGATTACAAATTGCTTCTGAAAAAAATACAAAGGGGAGATTCTACTAATTACTTAGGATTTAAAACAGGTTTACAAAAAATTCAACCACAAAAGGTACGAATCAGGAGAGATCAATTTCAGAATCTTAATGACTTTCAAAAATCGTTGGGAGACATTGCCCATGTAGGGCCCACTATTAGAGTAACAAATAAAGAACTAAGTAATTTGTTTCAAACCTTAGAAGGTGACATGGACTTAAATAGTTCAAGAGAATTATCTGATGAAGCTGAGAGAAAGATGACTTTGGTGGAAATTACAGGATGCTCATGTGGATCGTTTGAATCTGGAGTTTGATTGCATTCTGGTTATTTTACCTTCTACACATTTCCCTACAGGAATTTTAATGCAGAGGGAAGATAGTATCTTAAAATAGATATTTTTTTATCACATAAACAGAGTAAAAAATTAAAACCTATTACATCTATTAGAAGTAATGCTCATTATGCAGACAATATACAAATTAAGACTGACAGCATATGTATCGAGTAAAATGGAACAGTTTTGGCTCAGCCTGCTCTTCCCACAGGGATTTGAATCCAAAGCTTGATCCTGCTAGACACGTGACCTATCATTGCCCTAAACCCTAACTCCTGGACTATCCTTTCCAATCAGTGGAAAGCTGACCATATTTACAAAACCTTGATTTAGGCAGAGTGCTGTGGTCCTAGCTCCTGGCTGTGGAAGACTTGTTTTGCAAAAATATCAATAAAATTGCAGCACAGTGAGTGACACCATTAGTAGGACCTGCAGTGTGAAGTTTCCAGAGCATATGACACCACTGTCCTATAACAAAGCCATTTTCTCCTGTAATAAACAATTCATATCAATGAGCTTTCCAAATCTGTCCTAAATGTTATCAGTTACCGTAACAAAGATCTATGGTATAAAGGAAACATGCAATGCCATTTCTAGTAGCTTCAATTTATAAGTAACTATGTATTTAAATTAGTTATTAGAATGAGGAACAGACAGATTAGGGAGAAAGAATCAAGAAATATCAGCTACGAATAGGAGATTTCAGCTTGAAAAAAAAATTTGCTTTGGGGCAAGTAGTTGGCCACAGTAGCGGCCCTCAACTCAACCAATCCTCCTTGTTTTAGCTCCATAAGCACTGAAATTACAGGCATGCAACACCACACTCGGTGAAATAGTTTTTAAACATCCAAATGTCAGCTCAGCATTGAAATTGCCTGGTAGAATAGACAGTCTCCATCCCTTGAATGTTAAGTTGCCTGCCTTGTGCATGTACAAAAGATCCTGGCTTAGGTCAGGTTAGTCCTTTCACACTGAACTGATTCCATGACTTGACTATGTTGGAACACTCCCTGAATTAAATCCATTTACTGTTTCTTAAGTGGGTCCTAACCATATTTCAGACTTTCGATTAAGTCTAAGCATAGAAAGGAATTTCGAGATATAATGGTGAGATTAGCTGGTTCAAATGCTGGATGGGAATGAACAAAGGCCAAACATTACAGAACATATTTAAGGAAAAATTTATGGATAGCATTTTATTTCTTAAGTCATGCTATTTTATTCTGTTATAACAAAATACAACATGAGTCAAATGTGGTAATACAATTTCTTTATTAAAAATAATTTACAGCATCAATAACATATACACAATTTCATTAACTGAACTTTACCTCCAATATATTTCTATACAATACTTAACATTATTGAACTTAAAACTGTTATGCTATTTTGTTGGCTTTAAATAACAATGATTTGTAGTTACTTAAGATATATATATATATATGTATGGTTTTATAGCCATGTATTATGCATAAAATTGATAAAACAAAAACAAAACAAAAAAGATCACATCAGCACAGTCACAGTTCCCCTTGAAGGGGAAAAAAAATTCCATTGAAAAAAGTCAAAGTCCACTTCCTTTCCCTGTTTTTTCCCCAAAATCAAATCTAGTATCATTATCCAGTATCTTAGTGTCTTCTCCCTAGACTCAAAAGCAAAAAGGAAGCCGGTTTTCAACCCCTGAAGAGTGTCAATTTTTCTCATCTCGTCACTTACCACTGAGGAGAGGAATGCACACTACATTGTTATCACATATGAAAATAACTGGCTCTGGCTTTACAACATCTAGTTCAATACCAGTAAAACCCACACAGCCTGGTGAAGAGATACCTCTCATCCAAGTGTTAACAGAGACGGGTACCTGCTGGAAGTCTTTCCTTCATTTGTACGAGCAGCACAACTAAGGCACACAACAGCATGGAACACACGTTCTTGAGATAAAATGCTGCTGTTGGTAACTGCACTATGTTCACAATACTGATTGCTTTTTTGTGTTCACTTCCTTTCCCCAAAATTGGTAATGTTTAGAAAATAACAAAAAATACTAAAAATAGTCAAAATAAAGGAAGTAACACATTAAACACAGGCCATCACATTTTTGCATCATTTGGCTGGAGGCAGAATTATAAAATATACGCATTGAGACATGCGCTTAATTTCCTTCCCCCATTTAAAACCATGCTTATCAAGAGTTTAGTTCACTGTTTATAAGCAAGAGATCGAGAACCTTGACTTTGTTCCTGAAATACAATTTTTTTTTTTTTTTTTTTTTTTTTTGAGACAGGGTTTCTCTGTGGCTTTGGAGCCTGTCCTGGAACTCGCTCTGTAGACCAGGCTGGTCTCGAACTCACAGAGATCCGCCTGCCTCTGCCTCCCGAGTGCTGGGATTAAAGGCGTGCGCCACCATCGCCCGGCTGAAATACAATTTTTTACACCATTCCTGGAGGGTGGACTGGAAATGTAAATGTTTGATTCACAGCATCTTAGATGTCTATATCCACACCTTTAACTCAGATTATTGACAGAGTGTGCCTTCAAAATAAGACACCCCCCATATAAACATCCTGAATTAACATTTCTTCAAAGCATGTACCAGTATTTTAATATTCAACTTGTAACTTCCCCATTCCTAACTCAGGATTCCACCAGATGAACACAGATGCACAGACAGAAGACACATGGCTTCTACCAGAACACAATATGATTTCAAAGTAGCAAGAAACACTCATAACGAGACTTTGTTTTGTCAAATTCTAGTCCAACTAGATATACATATCTGAAAAAGACTTCAACAGACTGTATGACTGATTATGTGCAAAGTTCAGTTCCCAGTGCTCCTTACTCACTACTGGTTTGGTAGTTCCTGAATTTTAGCATAAAACAAGTACTTTTTGTTTTGTGCTATGCTCAAAACCAGATCAGATGAAGAAAACATTTAAAAAAAATCATTGCACTTAATTAACATTTTGCTGCTAAGTTTAATTTCTTAATTAAAAAGAGGTATAGGGCCTTCTAAAAGTAATTACCAACCCTTTTAAAAACGATTTAAACCATGGACAAAAGCATGTGATGTGGTATAACAGATATAAATGCAACTGGGGGAACACACGACGTGCAGACAGCAGTGATCGCCAAGTGTCTTATCCTCACGGTCAGTCTTGATTACAAACAAACAAATCACAATGAAATGAACAGAGTGATGTATCCCAAATATTCAAATAGCAGTAAGTCAACTTAAAGGACTGAAAAAAAAAAAACTTTAAAAATACTTTGGGTGTATAGCCAAATAATTTTGGGTAGATAATTTTAAGTTTAGAGGAAATATAGAATTGATTCAAAGTTGTTTTCAGCATTCATAAAAGGAGTGTGGAATATCAGCTGGTAATACCTAATTAAGGTTACAGAAGTTACAGCATCATGTAAAATGAGTAAAATCTAGCCCAAATTAATACACCAGAATTTGGGGCTTGCCAGAGGGGTCACAGTGGCAAATTACTAAAAAATTAAAGAGCTGTATCATAGCATATATATTTGACCTAACACATGGTATCATACAATCATCTATATTTTGCAGTTTTTTATCTTCAGGCATGGAGCAAACTTTGGTTGGACTGGTCAGAGGAACTGTGATCTGGGGCAGGTTCTAATCTTCAGACATATTGAGACTAAGGGTAAACCTGATTTATATTACAAATTGGGAATATCAACTGTGTCCAACTCAATTCTGGAAAGAAATACACTTAAAAATTCATTTATAAATTAGGGTCTAATCTGGATTCTTGTATTTCAACTTGCTATTCTTAAACCAACAAACAGCAATCCAAGTTTATAGGGCAAAACAAAACAAACAGCTTCAGAAAGGCTACTCATATGAATCTTCAACACAAGTTCAAATTCTATCTTTATTTACAAAATGTTCTGATAAAATATAACCCCCATACTTACAGGTCTCTTCCACAACACACTTCACACGTTGATTTTTAGCAATGTTAATAGCACCATTCGTATATTATTTAAGATCAAGATTTCATTTCAGTTACTACACTGATTCATACTCATTTACATCCATGGATGAGAAAAACGAGTTTACTGGAATTATCTGCAGCTCCATGGCAAGGGTTCCTGGCTCCAGCACAAAAGGCTTTGCAGTTACCAGTCACGAAAGATACCACGGTGAGTATATACTATGAGAATTTTCGAGCCACAAAGTTTAATAAGCCTCCATGTTTGTACAAAGTTATCTCCACATCATTTTCAAATGATGCAATCACGCGGAATTCTTTTCCAGTACTCGTCTTTAAACAAACAAAAAGATGTGTGAGCGTCAGAGCTTCAAAGTGTTACTTGGTTAAGATCATTTGCATCCACATCCACTAACTACCTGATTTATTGCCTCACTTTCCCGGTTCTAATTCCTACATTTCATTGCCCCAAACCCTTCCGATGTTTAAAAACATGAGACCCCTCCCAAAGAGCTAAGTGGAAAACCAGGTAGTTTGCTCTCTAATTCTAAAGAACTCTGCAATTCCACAGCATGACGCGGATGCTGCTTCCCTTAAGTCATTACTCACTATATACATTTACGAGACATAAGTGTTGACCACATACAATGTCTACTGTCCCTGACTTTCTTCCCTTAGTTATAAAGTCTTACTATAACACTGAGTGATGAACTCTTGCTTCTCTTTGGAATGGATTATTGCCTGGGTCAAATTTAGATCAAAACATAAACAGCTGAAAATCCAGCACAAGGAACTGAGCCTCAGTTCTCTATCAGACATCTTTTTCCTAGACTAACCAACCAGTTCCTTCTACCTTTCCTCAGACACGAGCTCTACTAATAACACATATTAACAGGAGAGAGCTACAGCTAACATGCACTGACATTAGCATGCAATGAGAAACAGCTCTTACTCACTAACAAAAGCCCATTTGAGTACAGAGTACACAATTGTGTATTTGGAAATCTTCAAGATACCTTCATATTTAATGTAATTCCAGGAGAGAGTTCTTCAGGAAATGATAAAGAAAATACTTCTCTACCAGAGAGGCCCAAAGTATCTGCATTTTCTCCAGGAAGGTACTCAAGTGGAGCGATGCCAATTCCAATCAAATGATCTTTGTGTATTTTTTCATAACTTTCAGCCAAAACAGCCTTTACACCCTGTAACAAATATGCATTTTATTTCCTCACTTTAATTTTCATTTATCACCATCATCATCTTATTATGATTATTTCTGAGACAGATCTTGGTTTGTAGCCTAAACTGGCTTCAAATTCATAGCAATCTCCCTGCTTTCTGGCCTGGGGTGCTAAATTTGTAAGATGTACAATCATGTCTGTTTTACAGGGACTATTTTAAAGAAAAAAAAACAGATCTTTGGCCTTTGTTTTCTATAGTTATTTTTGTTGGACTATACTATTACTGAGATTGTAGTTGTATATGGTATCTACAGAAATCTTTTCTAGATTCTTCTTTAAACAAAAACAAAACCGAAAACAAAGAAATCCTACAACACTCTTAAAACTGAGTGGTGATGGCACACCCCTTCAATCCCAGCAGTATGGAGGCAGACCTCTGAGTTCAAGACTAGCCTAGTCTACAGAGACAGAGAGTTCCAGAACAACCAGGGCTACACAGAGAAACACTGTCTCAAAACACAAACAATGCCCCCCCCCAAAAAAAACAGAAACAAAAATCCTTACATTGCTTTGACCACCAAAACAGCTCAAGGGTTAACACTCTGACTCGAAGTAGAACTCTGGGGGCCTTTGGAGAGGTAGAAGGAGGTGGATCTGTGAGTCTCAGGCCAGCCAGAGCTACACAGAAAGATTCTGTCTTAAAAATAATAATAAAAAGGTAACTGACCTGTCAAAAGAATAAACTAGAAATAAGACACTGCTATCAGCATTAAGGTCTGAGTCAGTCTGCAAACTGAGCCCATGAGTTTTGAGATCTAGAAGAGTGAGGACCCAGGAACACTGGAGAACTAATACGCAGTGAACTATAGCTCTACTCTGAGCTAATGTTTATTCTCTAGAAAAAGTGAGCTAGAGAGGCGGTTCTCAAGCTGTGGGTCATGACCTCTTTGGGGTTGAATGACCCTTTCACAGGGGTCTCATATCAGATATTAACATTACAATTCAGAACAGTAGCAAAATTACAGTTATAAAGTAGCAATGAAAATAATTTTATGGCTGGAGGATCACTACAACATGAGGAACTATATTAGATGGTTGCAGTGTTAGGAAAGTTGAGAACCACTAAGCTAGAGGTTCCAGGCTTAAAAATAAGGTTTCTTCACTTAAAAACAACAAAAAAAAAACACTGTCTCAAAGTCTTTTAGGACATTTCCCCCACCTCCTTAATCATGCATTCTTCACCATCTTTGCTCCTCCAAAATTTGAACTGTACAAATGTGCTGTATACTTGTTCAAGTATTGCATGTTTACCTTGTACTTATACAAAAATATAACTTGTTCTGAGACAGGGTCTCTACATAGTCCTGGCTGTCCTAGAATTCACTTTGTAGATCAGGGTGTCCTCAAACTCACAGAGATCCTGCCACTGCCTCTGGAGTGCTTGGATTAAAGGCATGTGTTACCATGCCTAGCTCAAGAAAAAACATTTAAACAAAAACGAGGCACACTGGGGTACTGGGGGGTACATGTGACATGAGACAGGGATGACAGATGAATTGATAACACCAGACTGAAAACAGAGACGGTGTTAACACATGCCTCCTGTGTAGGTCACTGTCCTGGAAGAAAATGATAGACTCACAGAAAATATAGACAGGTTTCTTACTTGGTCAAGGAGTATGATATTTGGCTACCTGAGTCTCTTGACAGAAACGAAGTTAAAGAGGGGTATTACACATGATAATTTTTTTAGACAGACTTCTCCTTTCTCTATATTGCCCCATGCAGATTTCCTTACATATAAAAAGATTTGAGGTTTTATCAAATTCAGAGTAGCAAAATAAAAATATATCATCTAAAATTATTGAAAAAATGTGAGATCCAAATAAGCATATAAAATTCAAATAAACCAAATAAACTTTGAAAATATGTTACCGAGAAAAGAAATATTAAAAATTCTTTTAAGTTTAAGAATATAAAATGATATCTTGCATATCACCATAGAACCTTCATCTGGTGATGGATGGAGATAGAGACAGAGACCCACACTGGAGCACTGGACTGAGCTCCCAAGGCCCAGATGAAGAACAGAAGGAGGGAGAACATGAGCAAGGAAGTCAGGACCGCAAGGGGTGCGTCCACCCACGGAGACGGTGGGACTGATCTAATGGGAGCTCACCAAGGCCAGCTGGACTGGGACTGAACGAGCATGTGATCAAACTGGACTCTCTGAATGTGGCTGACAATGAGGGCAGACTGAGAAGCCAATGATAATGACACCGGGTTTTGATTCTTCTGCATGGACTGGCTTTTTGGAAGCCTAGTCTGTTTGGATGCTCACCTTCCTAGACTTGGATGGAGTGGGGAGGGCCTTGGACTTCCCACAGGGCAGGGCACCCTGGCTTCTCTTAGGATTGGAGAGGGAGGGGGAGTAGAAGGAATGGGAGGGAAATGGAAGGAGGTGTAAATTTTTAATTAAAAACAAGAATATAAAATTTGAGAATCAGTACCAGCAAATAGGGTCCTTTGGCAGCCCAGTCTCTTGAATTTCCTGAACCGTATTTTTTCCCTGCTAAGATTATCAGTGGGATACCTTCTTTCTGGTATAGTTCTGCAGCTTCAAATACATCAAGCTGTAGATTAAACAGACAGAAAAATATTTAATAGAGAAAATGATCCTGTGAGCAATGGCCAAGGCACTCTGTGTACACCCTTACCGTCTGTCCTGATGGAAAATGAATTGTTTTGGGAGCTGGCTTCCCAATAAACTTGTTAAAAAGCTTAATGTTGGCAAAGGTGCCTCTCGTCATCACAGCATCGTTACCTCTTCGGGCTCCGTAAGAGTTGAACTCTCGAGGAGTAAGACTACAAAAGTTATAAAAGACAGTTTTCATGCCAGACAGAAAATAAAACAACTGAGTTGTACAAAACTGTTAAAGGCTGTTGTCTACCTCCCAACCTTAAAATATCTCCAGTTAGTTTAAAACTTGAAAAGATCTCACGAGTTTACCACCAATCTACAAAACCACACAGTTTCTTAGGTAATTGCCCCCATTAATCTGAAGCAAATCTCGGATCTCATTTTCTTTTTAAAAGGCAAGGTCTTAGGTATGTAACCCAGGCTGATCTCAAACTTGCAATACTCTAACCCAGCAAGCAGTTTTAGAATCTAGAACAAAACTATCTCAACAATCAACAACTGATTTTGATTAGCCTCTGATTTTATCTTTTATATAGAAGTATCAATGCTCTGAACTTGTACATTTGTTTTTTTCCAAGGCAGGGTTTCAGTGTGTAGCCCTGGCTGTCCTGGAACTTTCTCTGTGGACCAGGCTGGCTCGATCTCAGAGATCTGCCTGCCTCTACCTCCCAAGTGCTAAAGGCATGCACCACCTCTACCTGGTTTTAAAAAAAACTTTTTACTTCAGGATATAGTGGTGTAGACTAGTGGTTCTCAACCTTCCTAATGCTGAGACCCTTTAATACAGCTCCTCTTATTGTGGTGACTCCCAACCACAAAATTATTTCTTTTGCTACTTTGTAACTATAATTTTGCTACTATTATGAATCATACTATAAATATCTGTGTTTACTGGTGGTCTTAGGTGACCCACATGAAAAGATTGTATGACCCCCAAAGTGGTCTGGACCCACAGGGTGAGAAGCACTGGTGTAGATTCTGGGTGTCATATTTTCAGGAAACTTTAAAGTGATGAGAACTACTAGATTAGTAATACAAAACTATATATTTAAAAGAAGTGGTAACTGGCTTTCTTTGTGGAAGATGCATCACCAGGATGGAAATCATAGTCAAAAAATATTAGGAGGAGAGGGTAGCCAGATGGCTGAGTAGGTAAGGCACTCGCTGTGAAGCCTGACTAGAGTATGGGTTCCCAGGGTACAAGGAAGAGAACTGACTTGCACGTTTACACACAAATATATATTAAATAAAAATACAGTAGGATTAGACAAAACTTTGTAATAAAAGTTATAGCATGAATCTGTCAAATCAAGCTTCATAGCTCCGATTTTTATAAAGCATTTCAATAAAAAACCTTATCATTTGAATCTCTCAAGCAACAAATAATGTCTAAAAACTAATCAATACAGCAAATAAGTTTTCTATCTAACACCAAAATAGTTGTTCAGTGAGAGCAACTCCACATTATTTCTCATACAGAAATGAAACAATACCTTTCTAGTTTTAAATTTTATCTCTGTGGCTCAGTAGTTAAAATTGCTTGCTGTTCTTACAAAGACCTGAGTTCAGTTTCCAGAAGCCAAGTCAGGAAGCTCACAGCTGTAGTTTTCAACTCCAGCTCCAAGGGATTCAAAGTACCCTTTTCCTGACTCCACTGGCAATACATAAGTGGCTCAGGCACAATCACGTGCACGCGCACACACACGCACACGCGCACACACAACACACACACACTACAGCTTTAAAAAAATTAGCAATTCACATTTGATTCTGACAGTCTTTGTTACTGATACATGTCAATCCTAGCCTCACTACTCCATAGCTTACAGCCCCACAAAGCACGCATTTGTTACACTTTAATGATGGAAAGTTGTTTAGAACCAAAAGGTCAGGGTCCATTTGGTGAGTCAAACTAAGCTTGATTATTGCATCTAATCAGTTATGTCTTCAGACTATAAAGGCTTTGTTTGTCTGAATAAGGGCTCAATTAAAAACAGTGACTTTAATTTCTAACAGTATAAGGAAAGAGCTCCTGCTGAAGACAGTGTGCTAACAATGAGGTCCTTAAGATAGTATGTTATTTACAGGACATAGGAATAGGACCAAAAGAAGTCTCTTGCTGGGTGGTGGTGGCGCACGCCTTTAATCCCAGCACTCGGGAGGCAGAGGCAGAGGCAGGCGGATCTCTGTGAGTTCGAGACCAGCCTGGTCTACAAGAGCTAGTTCCAGGACAGGCTCCAAAACCACAGAGAAACCCTGTCTCGAAAAAAAGAAAAGAAAAAAAAGAAAAGTCTCTTATTAATGACTGAGTAAGAAGGTAAAGCAACACAGGGGAACCGTGGACACACATACCCTCTGTTTGTTAAATACTTAGCGGCAGCACTACTTCTAGCAATACTTCCAGCAGGTGATATGTGATCTGTAGTGACAGAGTCTCCCAAATACAGTAAGACATGGGCATTTTCAATAGGCTGGAGTATGGATGGCTCTTTGGTCTAAAAAGAGAAAATTCAAAACTCTGAACTCTTCTTCTTTTAAACTGTAACAATCTCTAAAAGCTCGAGCAGTACACTAGTACTTACAAGTTTATCAAAGAAGGAAGGGCATCTGATGTAAGTAGACTTCATGTCCCATGGAAACAGCACCGACTCTGGTGCTTCTAAGGAATTCCATCGTTTATTTCCCATCTGCAAATGAAGTTTGGATGAATGGATCAAAATAGGAAAAGAGACTTTAAAAAATATCCATAGATAAGACTGAAGGAAAACAAGTCTTGTCCACTTGAAGAATCATGACATTTTTGGACAGAATAAACAGACTTCCTTTAAAACTTTCAACTCAGCCGGGCGGTGGTGGCGCACGCCTTTAATCCCAGCACTTGGGAGGCAGAGGCAGGCGGATCTCTGTGAGTTCGAGACCAGCCTGGTCTACAAGAGCTAGTTCCAGGACAGGCTCCAAAACCACAGAGAAACCCTGTTTCGAAAAAACCAAAAAAAAAAACAAAAAACAAAAAAACAAAAACAAACTTTCAACTCACCAAATTTTCAGGAGCAATTTTGAGAGATAAGTTTCAATGTAAACAAATATAAATACTTCATAGAACTGCTCCATCCCCACTAAAAAACTGAAAAAGACATATATGTGTACGTATACTCACACTCTGCAAAAAATTTTTATGTATGGTATAATGTTAATCTTTAGAAATGTCACAAAAAAAGGGTTTTTTTTTTGTATTTTGGTTTTTTTACTGTTTAAAGGCAAGACTAACAGGTAGTCTTAGTATTTTTTTAAACTCCATTTCTCATCAATCTCCACTGCTACCTCAATGATTCATTCAACCAAAAGCTTTGACTATTTGACTTGAACTTTCTGATACTACATTCCTTATCAACTCTCTCTCAAAATAGTAGACTGAGTAGGTTAGAGACAACTCAAAGGTTAAGGGCACTGGCTGCTCTTCCAGAGGACCCAGCTTCAATTCCAAGCACCCACCTGGCAGCTCACAGCCATCTGTAACTCAAGTTCCAGGAGCTGAGAGCCCCATCTTCTGGCCTTTACAAGCATCAGGCATCCACATGCTATACAAACATGTACACAGGCAAACACTCAGACATAATTTCCTTTTTCTGTATACATTTAACATAATGTTCAATTTATATAATTCTTTTCTTTTCTTAGAGACAGAGCCCTGCTATGTAGTCTTGGGTGACCTGTAGCTAACTCACTGCAACAGAGCAGGATGACCTCAAACTCACAGTGATTCACTTATCCCTGGTCCAATACTATGAATAAAGGTGTAATTCCAGCACGTGGGCGGCAGATGCAGGTGGATCTCTGTGAGTTCGAAGCCAGCCAGGTCTACAGAGCTAGTTCCAGAACACCAAAGGCTATACAAAGAAACCTTGTCTAAAAAAAAAGAGTGTGTATCACTACACCCAGCTTTCTTTTTGAGTCAGCCTCACAGTGTAGCCGAGGTTGGCCTGGGAACTAACTCATGATGTATGCCAAGCCAGCTTGAAATTTATGGTTATCTTCCTGCCTCAGCTTCCTGAGTGCTAGGATTACAGAAATCTGCATAGCTGGCTCCTGAGTATTCTTTCTACAGTTCACTGCCTCTCTGATGGGAAAATGCTTTTCTTTGTTCAATGATGTGTCTAAACAGCTACAAGAGGAACTGCCACACAATAAGGCATTTTCTGAATGTTTATATACTACTTTGAACATAAAGTCTGCATAAATGTATTTGCTCATTTGTGCACAAAGGCAAGACAAATTAAAAAAAAAAGTTAGTTATAGGACTAACTTTTATAGTTATAGGACTGCTCTCTGTCCTATAGAGGTAAAGCAATGGCCAGGATTTTAGTGACAGTAAGGTCCATTATTTGTTCTTGCTTATTTTGATTTTTGAACTATCTGAATGGAATGACAAACATTTCCATAAGTAACTCAAAATCAATTGGAATATTCTAGATATTCCTCTTCATAATTAGCAATTCCAGATATAAAATAGCATTCAAAACTATGAATTCACCAGAGATATTTGCACATCTATGCTTACTGAAACAACAGTAGCCTGTTTATAATAGAACTAGCCTGGATGACCATCAACAGATGAAGAAAATAGGCTTTTTATAACAGTGGTATTTTTATTATGGCGTTAAAAAAATGGTTAATTGTGGGGAAAATGGATGGACTGATGATCATCATTTTAAGTGAAATAAGCCAGGCTCAGAAACGGTAACTAACTTATTCTCTCTTACATGTAGAATCTAGATTCAAATATAATAGTAGAAACAGGACTATGTGAAGGGGCTGAATACGAGATGGTGATATGAGTAAAAATAAAGACAAATATCACACATGTGAAACAGACTTATGTGCGTGTGCATGCGTGTGTGCCTGTGTGTGTGTGTGTGTGTGAGGGGGAGGAGAAATTGTTTAAGAAAATGGAACTAGAGCTGGGCGGTGGTGGCACACACCTTTAACCCCAGCACTTGGGAGGCAGAGACAGGCATATCCCTGTGATTTCGAGGCCAGCCAGTCTACAGAGCAAGCTCCAGGGCAGGCTCCAAAGCTACAGAGAAAAAGAAAAAGGAGCTACAGACCATTAAGTTAAGAAAAGCAAGCCAGATTCAGAAACATATATATTTCACATTTTTTGTCTTATGTGGAATCTAGATTTCAAAATAAAATATGTCAAAAGCATGACATTCAGCCTAGTTTGAGGGGTTCAACAGATAGAAGAACATGTTATAGTGTCTATGTTTAAAGCTGTAAAAGAAAAGGCAGAGGTAAGAGTAGGAAGATAGATTAGTAAGTACGTCACTTGACACTGATTCTGAGTTTGGATCCCCAGAAGCCATGTAAAGCAGGACACAGGCTGCAATCCCATCAGTCTTATGGATCAAGTAGGAGGTGGAGATTAGAGAATCCATAGCTTGTGGGTCAGTTAGGCTGGCAGAGGCAGCAGCAAACCATGAGCTTTTCTCACTATGGTGGAAGGTGAAGACGAACACCCATGGTTGTTCTCTGACCTCCACACATGCCGTGGTCCACACAGGCTCACATTCATACACATGAACAAACAACCACCATTCACACGCAAGATTTTAAAATGTCTGCATGAACACACATAGATATGAAAGAGGGGGTACTGTGTGGGGGGAGAAAGGAGACCAGCAGGAGACAGTGGGGACAAGAGAAGAGTAGTGCACGAGTAAAGTCCAATGATACAAACATGAAAACGTCATAAAGAACATTAACCCCTTATGAAACAGAGTCTCACTGTGCAGCCCTGGCTGGCCAGGAACTCAGAGATGCTCTGACTCTGTCTTCTGAGTGCTGGGATAAAAGGCCTGGTGTTTTTAATGGTACACACGCGCGCACACATGCTTTAAAAAAAAAAATTCAGCCATAAAAAATGAAATGTTCAAAATTTAAAATTTTCATTCTGCTTAGAAAGCAAAGACACATAGCTCATGCCTATTATCCTAGCACTGAGGAGGCTGAGGATTGCTGAGCTCACAAGTTACTGTGGACTATTAAGGAGTGGGTTCCCAGCTAGTATGAGTTAGTGAACCTTACTTCAAAATAAAGAACAAAACTAAAAACAAAGCCCCATAAGACTCTTACCTCTACCTTCTCTTTTAGAGCTCTAAACATGGACAAAACAACATGTTCTTCTTCTATCTGATGAACTTCTTCTCGACTAGGCCAAATGTCATGCAGGTAAATTCCCTTGCCCGTAGAGTCAGTACCTGCTCAAAATTTTAACACGGTATTCAGTATACATGTTAGAACAACACAAAACCAACACCTCAAAGTACTTCTATTTTTTCATAGACAAGTCACAGAAATAAGTAATTAACAGGGTGTGCTTCAGGGTTAAATATTGAGAACTAATGACATACACAGCTCAAGTTCTCCACATCGACATACGCATTAATAACAAGATGGATGGTGAACGGAAGTAACAAGCATTGCATGTTTTCTTTCATATCAAGACTCTGGTTTTAACAACTTCTGGGAGGAAGTACGCACAGAATACATATAAACACACAGATAATATATAGGAAAACACACCTAAAGGCTCTGTCTGGAAATCTATATTCACTGTGCCTGCTATGGCATAAGCCACCACTAAGGGTGGAGAGGCAAGATAATTGGCACGAACACAATCACAAAGTCGACCTTCAAAATTTTTGTTTCCAGATAAAACTCCACAGGTAACCAAATCACCCTGAAGGGAAAAACAAATATGCTTGATTCTGAGAGCCAGACAATCAAAAAACAAATCACTAAGCTTTAAGTGCACAACTATAAATCTTATAAATTCTAATGATTCTTTACACTACTAAAGAATTATTATAAAAATATAGAAGTAATTCTTTATATCAATTTAAGATCCACAAGTTACTCATTCCAAGAGTTGGAAGTATAAATATCAACACACACACCAATGCACACTTTCTGTAACTTACTAACAATATATAGTAAAAACTAGTTGGGGCAACTCTCAACGCTCATACCCCTGCTCTTCAGTGTGTCCTAATTCTTGTTTCTTTTACTTAGCACCTCTTTCTTAATCTTGGTGCTTAAGCAGATATTAAAGTATCTTTTTAAAATTAAACAAAAATAAAAAAAGCACTTAGATGTGCTAATCCACATTTTACCTGTTTTACTGCACTCAAAACAGCTTCTGATAAAGGTGCTGTATTTCCCACACATGTTGAACATCCATAGCCAACTATGTCAAATCTGCATTTAAAAAGTGAAGCGTGAGTGGAGAGCACATCATATTTGTAAAGAAAGGACAAGATTACTCAAAAATTACTTGGGAGTAGAATAATTACCATCAACACATTAATTTCACAACATTTTGAACATTCAAGCCTCACTACTGCATGTTCTTTGTACTGAATGCAAATCTTAGAAGAGCCAACATATCTACAGCACCTGTACTAGATCCAAAGTATTTATCACACACCAGATAGCTCCTATAAGTATGCTGTGTTTCCACTTGAAAGGCATATTTAAAACTCTAAAGTGTCAATATGAACTCACTATAGCAGGTCCATCAAAGGCCCTCTAGTAGAGTAACTTATTCAACTCTGAACCAACTAGACCTAAAAAAAAATACCTGACTCCAATTCCAACATAAGACTACAAACAAAATCCTCTAAGTTACTTTAGTTGCTGTTCTAGAAGCAAAATAAAGAAATCTAAAATTTGAGGCTTTGAAAAGAACCCATAATTTACTTAAGAATATTATGTTCTAAAATTAGACTACTGTCAACTTCTTTATAGAAGAAACATAAAAATTAAGTTTAAGATTCACAGACAAATTACCCAACATATTGTAGACCCAATAACTTTGTAAAATCTGAACTAAAGCAATCTGTTCAATTTTTTTTTTTTTTTTTGAGACAGGGTTTCTCTGCATAGCTCTGGCCATCTTGGAACTCGATCTATAGACTGGCCTCAAACTCAGAGATCTGCCTGTCTCTGCTTCACAAGCGCTGAGATTAAAGGTGTGTTCCAACCACCGCCCAGAGACAATCTTTTAATTAAAATCAATGCAACTTGTATTATTTTACTCTTTTCTGAACTAAAGATGACTCATGAGAATTAGGCATTCCTCACTGTGACTTGGTTTCCCCTGTCCTGACTTCCAAGTGTCTTACTCATCATGACATATTTGCAATGAACATCTGAGCGGCAGGCATGAGACTGTGATAATGGCAAGGTAAAGAGTGAAGCGCTCTAGACGGGCCTGAGCATGGCAAACATGGCACCGAGGGTTTGCCTTTTATCTTTCCTTCTCTCCCTTGCTAAACACCGTTAAACTACACTCTAAAACCTAGAACCCAAGGTCCGTTCCCTTTATAATGGCCACTGGCTCATTCTAAACACCAAAGTCCAACAATCAAAATTCATTATTTGTCTAGTACATCTAATCAGGACTTAACAGCTCACCCAAGCAGACTCCCCCTTTTTCTCCTTAAAAACTCACTCTTGCAATAAAATAAAATAAAATAAAATAAAAAATGCTTGCTTACTGCTGCTTGCAGTCTGCCTTTGCAGCCCTACCCCCACCACTTGCCCCTCCAGGTAATAAATCTTTAGTGCTGATGACTGGTCTGGATGTGTCCTGTGGTGACTTAAGAGGGCCATCTTCTCTTACAACAAGTAATATTTTTTTGTCTTTATCTTCTCTTGTTGTTTCTCAAACACATTTAATACCTGGTGAACACCAACAGTAAATGTAACTTACCCCAGCTTGCTAAGATAGGGTAACACTCCACTTGAACTGAGGTAATGCGTAACCATCCCACTGCCTGGAGATAAACTTGTTCTTATATAAGGTTTAACTCGCAAGCCAGTTTCAACAGCCTTCTTAGCCAAAAGACCTGTAAAATCAAAAAACAATGACTAAGACAATATACCCTTTCCTCCTTCACATTAGAATAAAAACCAAGAAAAGGGTGTGATTACTCTCAGACTACAATTTATAGTAAAATCTCAAACTCATAAACTTTCTATCATTACTACTGTACATTTTAATCACTGAAACTGAATTGAAATTTTTAGTAGATAAAATAGTCACCACGTTGTTAAGTTATTGGGATGGGCAGACACATTGGCATCACAAAAATATAAAAAAAAAAAGAATATTCACATACAGCAATTGACTGAATAAAAAATGCCATAATCATAGTAAATAAAGAGCAATTTAATATCGATTATACATAGTTGTACAGACATTAAGAATTGTCACTGTAAGTCGGGCGGTGGTGGCGTGGGCCTATAATCCCAGCACTCGGGAGGCAGAGGCAGGTGAGTTTGAGGCTAGCCTGGTCTACAGAGCTAATTCCAGGACAGGCTCCAAAGCTACACAGAGAAACCTTGTCTTGGGGGGCGGACGATGACTGTCACTGTGTATACAAACTGACATTAATTGCTAATGATCCCTCACTTGCATAACTTTGAGTGGGATCAAGTATACTGTGATATTACGTGGTAGGAAAAAGTCCAAGCAATACCTGTGGTACTTCTAAATTTACTAAAGACAGATACAATTTAAAATTAGTAGATATGTAAACTACCGTTTTCAAAAGCTACCTTTTGTGTAATAAAAACATTATACATCAAACTCAAGGTCCTAACAACTTAATTAAAAATTTCAGTGCCTCTCAATGGAAAACAAATATGGATACATCATATAAGGAAGAGAAATAAATATAACAGAAAAACAAACAGTAATTTACAAGAGAGAATAATTGTGGTCATAAATACCAACCTACCTGCAGCAAGCATGACAGACGGGTTACAATTATTGGTACAACTGATAACTGCAGCAATGACCACGGATCCATGGGACAGCTTATACTCATTTCCATCATAATGAATAGAGACAGTGTCACTTTGTTTTTCTGCTGCAACTTGAAAACCTTTAAATCCAACCTATAAATTTGCATGTAGATATTACTGACTTTGCAGAGGAAAGAGTGACAGAGAACACAGTGTGGACACCTGACACCTCAGCGTTGTAACAGTTGAAATTCTACTATGACATAGAAAGTCTACACCACTCAGAAGTGCAACTCATCTTAAGATGATCTGAATAGTTACAAGAGGAGCCTAGTGATGCTCAGAAGCAACACTTTTATATCAAGTGACTGCAGCCAACCTCCCAGAGCCAGTCCTAACTCACACATTCCCTATTCATTCCTGTTTACAGGCATTCCCAAAACATGGTAGAAACTCTTCCTATTCTAAAGATCTGCACCAAAGGACTCAAGTGTGTGAGTGCAGAAGAGAGGAACAAGATTTGCTAAGTTAGTAAGTACTGAAGCTGCCCAACTGGAACACATCAATTCATCAGAGAAATTTCTTCTGAATGAGTTTAATGTATTCCAAATAAAAAGTAAAGAAACTATAAAACAAGGCGTGGGAGACAAGGCCAACTCTGGCTTTTCCTAATAAAACAGAGCAAGACATAAGACCAAATATGTAACTCTCAAGACAAAAAATAGAAACCCCCAAAGCCAGGTTATTCAGTTTTTGTTTTTTGTCAGATTCTATGAGAATAATTACAGTGTGGTGACGTCTTCCTAGCACTGACGCCGCCCAACAAAATGTCCTTCACTGATGGAGATGGTCAGACTGTGCTGACAGACTCAAGGCAGGCCACATGTAGCTGATTGATAGTGAAAGGTGACTACTGTGACTAAGAAGTATAACTTTATACACTTTTGATTACTTTCAATAAATATAATCCAAACTCCGACCCTCAGAGTGGAGTTGAAGAATAAGCTCAATGAATGACTGACAGAAGAAAAAAGAGGTTGTTGGCATATGCCATAATGTACACTGAATATGAAATAGTCCCAAATCCTGATGGTCCTTTACTACTTAGCACACAGCATAAAAGTAACAATAAGTAACTTACCTTTTCATTTAAGCAAGCCTGAAAATCACTTTTCATATCTGTTATAGCAACTCTATCCTGAGGCCTCTTTGGACCACTGACAGATGCAACTATTGAATTCAGATTAATCTGTATCACCTGGGAAAAGATTGTAGGGACAGAGATCAGAATTTCTAAGTAGAGATATAAAAGCAAACGCTACTTTTTAAAATAGATGAGTACATTTACATTTTTCTTAACACAGCTTATGAAAATCACGGTTCCTCAAATGTCTTTTTTTTCTCCTACAGATATAAATAGTGTCCAAGGGGCTGGGGATGCAGCTCAGTTGCTGGTGGGCTTGTCTTAGCATGCGTAAGGCCCTGGAATCCACCTGAGGACCACACGGGATCAGACTTGATGGTGCACTGTCTGTAATCCCAGCACTCCAAAGGCAGAGATAGGATGATCCTAAATTCAAAGTCATCTTCCTATATAACGAACCAGCCTGGGCTACATAAAGACTGTCCTAAAAGAACAACAAAACCAAAACCACTGTCACAGCGGATGCCTGCACAATACTGAAGCAGAAGCTCTGCTAATCACCAACTCACTGCTTCTGAGTTCTGACTCCACTCGTGCCTTACTCTGAGATCACAAAGTTAACGGTGAGTAAACATTGCCCCCAGTCACCTCACACGTGATGGCTGGTCAACAGAATGTGTGCCAAAGCACAGAAAGGTTTTCTTTCTCTCCGGTTCTAGATGACCTTGCTGCTAGGTTCCTATGAGTAGTAGGCTTCTATTACTTGGTTAAAAATCATTAGTTTTGTTAACATCTCAGTTGCACACTAGCTATTTCCCTCTCCAAATATTTATCGTTTCTTTTGTGTACTTTATTGTACGAGGTTAGATAAATTTGAAACTTCCTCTTCATGACAGCCTCTTCACTGTTTAATAGCCAAGCTTATTCTGACTGATCCTATTTTGATTTAAAGGATTCAAATAATCCTAGTCTTTGATCTAAGTAAACACTGAAGGAATTTATTATTTTTTTAAAGATTTAGTTTTATTTTAAATGTATGACTATTTGCCTGCACTGTATGTATGTGAATCACATGTGTATCTGGTACCTGCAGACATCAGTAGAGGCTGTCAGATCCCTTGGAACTGGAGTTACAGTTACGAGACATCATATGGCTGTGGGGAACCCACTTGGGTCCTCTAAGAGAGCAGTAAATGCTTCTATCCACTAAGTCATCTCTCCAGCTCAAGAAGTTCCTTTTGAAATCAACATCTTGATGGATTTTAGCTTTACTTCCAACTATTGTCAAGAGTTTACATGGTGGAGGAGTTTATTTTTTTAAAAATGTTCATGCTATGCAGCCCAGGTTGGCCTTGAACCATGTAGCCCAAACTGACTTTGAATTTACAATCCCCTTCTCACAGCTTCCAGAGTCCTGGGATTCCAAGTGAGAACCAGTACACTCTGCACAGCCAGTTTTTTTTTTGTTGTTGTTGTTGTTGTTTATTTGTTTGAGGTATAGTCTCAAGCTGTGCTGGCTGACCTTAAACTTACACAGTTGAGCTGAGGATGCCCTTGAACTGATTTTCCTGGCTACAGCTCTTTGTAGGTGTGGGTAACCAAGTACTGGAGACTGGACCCAGGGCTTCATGCATGATAAACACTCTTATCTTATACTAAGGGAGCTGCATCCTGCTGTTAGCTGGAGTGTTTTTCAGTAAACAATCAATGCAACTTTACTCTACTTGTCATTTTTCAGAACTGTGGACAATGCACCAGATTCAACAGAAATCAAAGGAGAAAGAAAATGTAAGAGAAGTTAAAAGATTTTTCCAGAATCTTGAAAATTCGATGTCTAAGTCTTTTATTCTGGCTTTTAAGGCTGTTCTAAAAAAAGCCAGCTGTGGTGGCTTACACTTCAAATCAAGAGACCATGGTAATAGAACAGCCTCAAACACGAGAACAGCCTGGGCAATTAGTGACTTCCTGGTCACTCCAGAGGGAGACCCTTCTGTAGACAAACCAACTTCCTCATGCCATATTCTGCTCTCCCCCATCTGACTTTTTCTCCATTCTACAAACTAGGAAAACAAAGCTCCTGCCTTCATGGAACTGACTCTGCTCTAGGTTAGGGGTAAGACAGATATGTAGGTATTCAAATTGTGTAAAATAGCAACATGCTGGGAAGAAAACAAAGGTGAGTGAAAAAGATCCCCACCCCAGGAAAGGCAAAATCATAATGCCAAATTGTTATAAATCCTTGGTATATTGTCCTTAAAAATAATTTTATTAAAACTAACCTTCCTGAATGTAAATTCTACCTATGGCACAAAAAATATCCAATAGATAAGAATTAAAAGTATCTTTAACATTTAAGACCACATAAAAATAGAATAGTACAAAGTATTCATAAACTAGAGAAAGACATCACAAAAACTGAAATTGGCTGAGCAGTGGGTATATTAACAGTGTTCATCATGAAGCAGAAAAAAAAAGAATTAAGAATTGATATTTTGAATACTTAAAAAGTTAGACTGGGAGCTGGTGAGATGGCTCGGTGGTTAAAAGCATATACTTCTTACTCTTTTATAAGACCCAAGTTCTGTTCCCAGCACCCATGTAACTCTAGATCCAGGGTATCTGGTATTCCTGTGGGCACCTGCACTCAAATATATATTTGCTCCCATAATTAAATATAAATCAAAATGGTAGATTTCACAAAATGTTGCAAAATTTACTACCACCAGAATCTATGTAAATGTCATTATAAAATAAAAATGGGTCACAAATGGGATTTCGTATTAATAGCTATCACTCATTGAGTCACAAGTGGCATTTCTTATTTGCAGTTAGCACTTGTCAAGCACTTACTACGTGACTGGAACTGTTCTACAAATCTGCATTTAACTTAAGAACTCTAAGGGGTACAGCACTCAGTTACCTAGCTACTAAGTACTTAGAACTAGGATTCAAACGGAAGTGGTTATGCACAAACACTCATCCTTCTTATTACTCCTAGGAAAGTTACTTTCATATACCTGAGAATATTCAGGTTCTGAAGAAGTTTCATCATTTCGAAACAATTTCACAGCTTTAAGGTATTTTTCCATTGACTCAAGTTTGGTTTTGTCAAAACCTAAAAGAGAAAACAGTAAAATAAGATGTAGTAAAGAATCCCGAGACCCTAAAGATAGGATGTGAAACTGCACTGGTGGGCAGGGGCCACTTACTTACCTGTTTACTTGACCTTGTCTTCTGCTCTACTTACCAGAGTCCAGACTGCATGAAGGAACCGCATGGGCACACTACATGACACATATGAACGGATGGGCTGACAACCCTCCCTGAGCCCACAGCTGACATTCATATAAGTAAAGTCTTCAGGATTCCAGGCCTCAGCTTGTGAACTGGGCAGCTGAGGCCCTAGACACAAAGCAGCAAGTTCTTCCTGCTGTGCCTTGTCTGAACTCCTTGACCCACTAAAACCATGAGGCAATAAATGATTATTGCTAAGTTTGTTTTTGAGTGGCCAGGACCCCGTGGCATAAGACAAGTGCTCTACCAGAACCAAACAGCCTGACCATTGTTTTGTAAGCCACAAAATTTTAGGCTTTATTTGTTTTTTTTTAACTATTTAGCAAACAAACAAAACAGTAGTGTCCTACCTCAGATTAGTAAGTGAATAATGAGGTAAGCAGAGCTGGGGTGCAATATGACAGTTCAACACTAACAAGGGTCAAGGGAGATGTGCTCATAAGGAACACACCTGAGAGTAGGGTACCATCTTTCTCAAAAAAAGCATTGCTTTTCTCGTGAATGCTCTACCATCAAATCCTGATGAAAAAGTTTTGCACTTTCCAGAAAACCCTCTTTTCAAGGGCCTGTTGATCCACTCACTGTATCATTCTGAAGGTAGCTTCTATAGTCATCAGGGTGACCAAACACCCTCGCCAATCAAGCTTCACAAAGATCTTGAACCTGAAACCCTACTTCACACTCGAAAACTCTAGTCTGGTTGCTCCTCTACTAAATATAGATAGCAAGGTTGTTCTTTGTGAGGCAAAGGTGAAGTGAGCATCAATGTTTAAGTACTTCCTTTACCATGTTGTCTGTGGCTCATAAGGGACTAGGGTTTGAGGACTCTTTAGAGGTATCTATTGAGATTTGAGTGTTACTGTTTCAAAACAGGACAGTTTCATAAACATTCACTAGCACATATGACTGTAATTTGTTATAAAGTATTGTCAAGCAGCTATTTTGCAAATACAATCATTTTATATTCTCTTACCTGTATGTTCTAAATGTCGTAGTGTCACATTGTCAACAGGGAAAAAGCTGAGGATAGCACCATATTCTGGACACATGTTTGCTATAGTAGTTCGATCAACGATAGATAATTGTGAAACTCCACTTCCAAAAAACTCAACAAACTTTCCAGCCACTCCTACTTGCCTGAGGTGCTTTTAGGGATATACAGAAACAACACAATATCAGCAATGATAAAATCAGCATGGATTTCTAACCAATACTAATGATAAGGTCTTTTATCGTATGGAACAAACTCATTTCAGTTTACTGGTATTTTAAGATAAGCAGTAAATAGAAGAGTGGTCTGTGTTTAAAAAAAAAAAAAAGAGCTGGGTATACCTTAATCCCAGCTCTTAGGAGGCAGGGGCAGGAGGATCTCTACAACAGCCAGAGCTACATGGTGAAACATTGTTTCAAAAACATAAAAAAAAAAAAAAATCCCTAAATGCTCAGAAAAACAATTTTAATATTAATGTCTCTGAAATCAGAGATATCTTAGATTCCTCAGGATGCCTACATAGCTGGCAAGCACTTTTTCTTCATAACAGTACATAAAACAATGGTGTTCTAACCACTGCTGGCATCCTGTAAAGTTTATGAAATAATAATATACTTACGAGAGACACCATATAGTGGACTTAAAACTGTATGCTGCTATACAAAATTCTTCAAATTATTAGTATTGGATCAAATATTTACAGCAACAGTATTATAAGTAAATTCATTTTGGTCAGATTTAACATGATTTAAAACTGAATTCCTCCAAAAATTATTCTTCATTATTACCAAGTAACTAAAACAACTTCTAATCTTAGTTTGCTTTTATTATTTATTTTCTTTTTACTTTACAAGTGTGGACACTTTTGCCTGAATGTATGTTTATGAACCACATTTATGCCCTCTGACTGCGGAAGCCAGAAGAGGGTGTTGGATCTCTTGTAACTGGATTCTAGGTCCCTGATCTCAGTTTTAAAGATAAAAAGAAAAATTAGGGGAGCTGAAGAGATGGCTCAGTGGTTAAGAGTATGTACTTCTCTTCCAGAAGATCTGAGTGTGGCTCCCAGCACCCACATTAGGTAGTTCACAATGGTCTTTTAACTACAACCCCAGAGGCCCTGACACCCTTTCTTGGCCAGTATGGACACAGCATTCATGTACACAAATGCATACATGGACTCAGATATGCAAGATTAATATAAAAAATAAAATCTTTGAAAAAGAAAAGAAAAATAAATTAGGTTAAATGTTATCATCTTTAAATATGTACTTGGGAAATGAGATGGTTAATTCTATAAAGACCATAAAAAGAGAAGAACCTCAACAGAGAAATAATATATACAATAAATACAAATAGATAAGAATTCTCTCACAATAAGCTGTCAAATCACACAAGCAGTAATACTGTCAATTAAGAACAGACAACAAGAATCACTATCACTACTGAGAAGGTGGCACTGCTCTTTCACCTTGAGGAGCAGCTCCAAAGCTGTCTCATCAATAACTCAGACAACACTGCTGAGGAGAGCAGCCCACACTGCAATGATGAGAGACACATGTCTCAAGTGCAACTATTTTTCAAATGAAACTTGGTTAGTGAAAAGTAGAAAAACTAGACTGCAATATCACAACTTAATATTCAGCATACTAAACATATATAGCCAGTACTACTTCAAAGTATGCGAAAACAGACAATGGAGAAGTCTGACTATCACATTTCTATCACAGACTGTTCCAAAGCATTGCTTAATAATTTTTGTCTTAAGCTTTTTTTGGGGGGGAGGGGGGTAAAAAAATAGGGAGGAGGGTCAGACAGCTCAGGGTGTTAAGGTACTTCCCACCAAGGCTGATGAGCTGAGTTTGGTTCCTCAGACCCACATAGAAGAAAGCCAACTTCTGAAAGTTGTCTTCTGACTTCCACATGTAAGTCACGGCACCCATATGTACCCACACTCATACACAAATATGTAATATAATAAAAATACTTTTTAAAATTGGGGATAGACACTGGAGAAATGGCACAGTTGGTAAAGTGGTAAAACTGTTGGCTTTGTAAGCACAAGGGCCTCAACTTGATACCCAGAACCCGACTTCAACAAGTCAAGCATGGCAGCATATGCTGTGACCCCAGTGCTGGAAAGGTGGATCCCTAGCCAGCACAGCCTACTTAGAGAGATCCCAGCCCAGGCCAATGAGAGATTCTGTCTCAAAACAAAGGCACCAAAAGAACAACTATGGGTGATGCCTCTTGCACTTGCAAAAGCATGAACACGGATATATACATACACATGCACACACAAAAATTACTTTTTGGAGTCTGGCCTCTTATTTTATGATCCTCTTGTCTTAGCCTCTTGAATGCTGGGATTATAGGCATGTGCACCACACCTGACTTCTTAATTAAAATGCCAAGTATTACATTTTGTTGTTGTTTGGTATGTCCTGGAACTTGATATATTGAACAGGTTAGCCTCCAATTCACAAAGAGCTACCTCCCATGTGCTGGGATTAAATGCCTGTGCCACCACCACCTGGCTTAACGTAACATTTTAAAAACCCAAGTGGTCAACAAGTTATTTATTGAGGCAATAATGCATAACTGTCAAGGGCAAGGACTCCTGGGTCTGAAGCCTTGATCTACTACTTAGTATTGAGCCCTGTGCTCCTTTGATAAATGATGAGGCTGTATGTATTTTCTGCTCAGTTAAAATAATTACAACAGTAACTCACCCATAAGCTTATAATACAGTTATTTAATAAATGTGTTGACAGGTAGCAAGTACATAATGACCTTTTATGTACTTCCAAGCATATATTATGTTACATTTAATGTAATTACTATGGTAACTTTATGATATAGCTAGTGATGTGAGAACTAAGGATGGAAGCATAAATTCAAATCTGGGCTCTCGTGGGGCTGCTCCACTTACATAACAACTAATATTTGAGCTTACCTTTGTAATGCCAAGGACAATATCTATGGATGTAACAAAAGTGTTGGACGAGCCAGTTAGCTCACATCCAACCACCTCTGGTAAAGTAAGAGTAACTGGCAGGCCAAGCATAACTGCTTCTGTTTCAATGCCTCCAACTCCTGTTAAGAAGGACAAGTACATCAGCAAAGGACATTTAACGACAATTCAGATTAGCCATCTTCCATTTTCAAATCTCCCACATCTCACGAGTGTGACTCACACGGCATCTTACAAGGAGCTGCCACATTACTATCACTGTGGACTTTGGACCTGAACCCTTTATAAAGGATGACTCCACTTACTTAATTGAAAAAACTGGTATTTTTATCCTAATATTAAATTTAAAAAGCATTTTCTGAGAATGTTATGAACTGTTCAATGACCAACAAAACACCTGGATAAGAATACAACCCAGCTTGTGCCTTAGTATCACGAACTGAAACTAAGAAAAAACCCAAGTTATAATACTCTAATACTCCATTAAAAAAAAAAGTACAGTCTGGGGTACTTTTTGATTGATGAGATTCTACAAGGATTAGGGATTTCAAGAAGCAACTGTGCTTAATCTTGAAACAGTTGTAAATAGGGATGGTGGGCAAGGCTGTGAGACATGAGAGGTCATGAAGGACTGAACAAAATGACTTGATGGATTTTGGGTCTATACAGGCGGCAGGGGATGTGACACCACAGCCACCACCAGCACTGCTACAGACCTCACCATTACCCAGTGCGGGAATGCCTGACAGGGGTGCTGGGCTGGCAGTATATAATCCTTCTTTTTCAAAAATCATCTTTACTATAATTCAAAAAATCTTAAGTCTGTTCCTTTGTTGCTATTATGAGAAACTGTCTCAAAGAGGCTCTCTGCCCTCTGATAATATTCTTGGTATTCCTTCTTAAAAATAAACCAAATTATACTGAGGTATTTACTTACCCCACCCAAGAATTCCCAATCCATTCACCATGGTTATATGAGAGTCTGTGCCAACTACACTGTCTGGGAAGAGTAGGTCCTTTTCTTCAAAAACTACTCTTGATAAATATTCTAAGTTCACTTGATGAGCCATTCCAGTTCCAGGAGGGATGACAGCGACATTCTTAAAAGCTCCTGAGCTCCACTACAATTTGTTTGGATTTAAGAGACACAAGTGTTAGTACATTGTGTAACTTTGTATTCACAATCAAGATACAAACAAATACTGACACTATAATGTTCAATATGGTCTGCTCCAAATTTATAATACTAAAAATACACAAATATCGAGCCTATGCATTTTGAAGATCATTAAAACCAAATTAAGCTGGGCACGGTGGTGTTTACCTATAATCCCAGCACTTGGAAGATGGAGGCAGGAGAAATCAGTTCAAGGCCATTCTCAACTATGTATCAAATTCTAGGCCAGGTACTGTGCTCTAAGACTCAAGGAAAGCCAAAGAACAAGACTGTGGATGGCTCACTTAAAATATGGCCATTATTTTCATTATTTTTTATGCCAAATATAAGGGTTTCCAAAATAATATGGTAAAAGAAAGTTCCATGATTATAAAGCTTTTATTAAATACAAGTTTAAATATTAAAAACTGTACAGGTTTAGTATTTTATAAATGTTAATCAAAAATTCCTCAAATCATTTATACCTTAAAAAACTGAAGCCTCTCTCGATTTCTGCCGAATTCTATTTCTTGATTTTTTAACACTGTCTCAGGTCTAAAAGGATGAAAAGCTGGTATTAAATACATGTACTAGTAAAAACTCATTTGCCTTATGTCTAAGTTTTCATTCTCACACATTTAAAAAATGCCCATAAGTATTTTCAGTTCCTTTTTTTCCAGAATTATTTCTCTCTCAACAAGGAAGTCCTTTCTGCCTGACCCAGCACACAAGATAGCTATGGAATTATTATCTTACTGAGTACAACAGGCAGCTTCCACATCAGCGCTCAGACTGCTGTGGGAAGCCAGTCAGACCACGATAAAGGAAACTAAGCTGTGCTAGAAGGAACAGGGCCGTGAGCGTGGTCAGAGAAAAGTGTGCACATTCTTACCCCCTTGGCTTCTGTGCCAGTTAAAACAGATAGATGGGAACCGAGGTGCATCCTTAGAAATAAAAATACCACATTAAACACTTTATTCTGCAGTTATATAGAAACAACTTTTAAAAAAACCAGGAATTTGTGAGGATGGATGGCTCCGTAATTAAGACAGCTCTTGCAGAGGACCCAGGTTCAGTTCCCAGCACCTACACTGTATCTCACAATCACCTGTAACTACAATTCTAGGAATTTGGATGCCCTCTTTTGGCTTCCGAGGGCTCCTGCATGTTTGTGGAGCATTTAAACTTACACAGGTATAAACGTTACATACAAAATAAAATAAAGATTTTGTTGTATCAGTCATTTTGAATCAGTAAGCATTGTCAGAATGCTACTTTGTATATAAAAGTCAACACACCTAGCCATGGCGGGAAATGAGTATTAAGGAGTTATTACACAAAATAATTGAAACCATACAGCAAAGGAATTAGAATACAGCTAATCCTTAGAAAGGATGTAGGATATCACTATAACCTAAAGTTTTATAAATAATACTAAACCAAGATTTTAGAACTAGACTGAAGTTGAAGATTCAAATCAGATTCAGTTCAAAGACAGACAAAATTACTGCATCACTTTGGCATTTACCATGTATATGTGTGAATACTTTTTCTAGCTACTTAAAACTTTAAATGTTTTAATACTTCTTAAGCCAAAAGTATTTTTGTTTATTATATTTGTTTTTATTTTACTTTTATGTGTATGTGGGTGACTATATATCTGTGTACGATATGTATGAGGTGACCACAGAGGTCAGAAGAGGTATCTGATGCCCTGGAATTGACATTACAAATGGATGTTAACCACTGTAGCTTCTGGGAATCAAATTCCAGTTTTCTGCAAGAGCAACAAGTGTTCTTAGCTATGAAACCATTATCTCTCCAGCCCTGTTTACTAATTTTTTTTAAAAAAAGTTAGTAACTGACTAGTAAAGAGCAACAAAAAAAATTTGCAACTTTATAGCAGGTAAAAATGGTGGCACACATTTTTAATGACAACACCTGGAAGGCTGGGGCAGAAAGAATGCCTAGAGCTCCGGGCCAGCCTGGCTCTAGAAAGCAAATGAGAAGGTAAGTTGTGAAAGCAATGCAACAGGAATCAGACATGAGAAGTATGGTATTAACTGAAAAATAACCTGGTAGCGAAAATATTAACAGAAACAATGTCATACTCAGGCACTGGCTGCAAATGAAAAGGACACAGGATGGGCGTATTCTCAATTTGTGAAGAAAATGTTCCTGAGTTTCGGCTTAGTTCTCCAGAATCACACGATCCTCGGCAGGTAGTCTGGCCTCGGCACGGAAGCTTCTTAGGCTGCACTTTAAGTGGAGAGAGCTTTCCCGCTTTCTGTAGGTCACCACCTCCAGGATTTGGTGCATTCTGTATTGCACTATTATTTCAAAAAGGAAACAAAATAATAATGTACATACAAGTGAAAGAAACTTGAGCTTTAAAAAAAATTTCACATCAGCGAGTAAATGAGGTCCAAATGCTGAGTAGTAGTTTGAATGTAACTGTTCCCCATAATCTCATGGGGGGGGGGGCACTATTAGGAGATGTAGCATTGTTGAATGGGTATGGTCTTGTTGAAGCAAGTGTGTCACTGTGGGGTGGGCTTTGAGGCTTCCTCCACAAGACAACATCCAGTGTCTCAGTCAACTTCCCAGTGCTTACAAGATGTAGGACTCTCAGCTACTACTCCAGCACCATCAGCCGCTAATGCTCCCCATCATGATGATGATGGACTGAACCTCTGGTGGTAAGCAAGCCACCACAATTAAATGTTTTACTTATAAAAGTTTCCATGCCATGGTCATGGTATCTTTTCACAGCAATAGAAACCCTAAGACAGGCTTAATGTTAGAAAAGTATTTCAGGTTATAAAAGAGGAAAAATAAGGTAGGACAGTGGTACACTTGCCATCTGAGGCAAGGGGACTGACAGGAATTCAAGGCTCACTGTGGCTGCACAGTAAGATACTGTCTCAACTCTCTCCACAACCCCAAACCAAGTAGTTTATGTTCATGAAGGTAAAAACATAATCCCAAACACCTCATATAATCACACACCTCCCCAAGAGCGGATGTAAATTTCTTCTAATTTGACATGCTAGAGAAGAGAGTTCTTTAAGACAGAATCTCCCCATGTAGTTGTAGCTGGCCTGGAACTCCCCACTACACCAGGTTGACCTTGAACTCAAGAGATCCACACCTATCTCTGCCACACCAGTGCTGTGATTAAAGCCACACCCGACACTCATTTTTAATGTTCTATACCAATATGAGAAACTCTGAGCAAATACAATATACTTTTTTGACATAAGGTCTTAAAGAACATACAGTTTTAATACAGGGTATTGATTTCTTTCATGAGTTAGAGTAAATTTCAGTATTATTCCACTACTCTAAGAAATGTAAAAGACTACTACTGGCAGAGACAAGAAAGCTTCTCTAGCCTTCCCTTGGCCAACTACGTTAGAAATACACGAAACTTACTTCAATGGAAGGAAGACAGCATTTTCAATCACCAGTTAAAGGAAAATCCTTAGATTTTCTCTAAAAGGTAAGTAAACTAAAACCAAAAAGGAACTGAAGCTGGCTGTGGTGGTGCATGCCTGGTATTCTACCGCCTGGGAGAGGAAGAGGTAGGAGTTTGAGGATGCCTGGTTTATAAATAGGGCTCAAGGCCCATCAGAGCTAAAAAGCAAGATCCTGACTCAAAAACAAAAACAAAGAGAGAGAAACTTAATTCAGATATTCAGATACCCATTCCAAAAGCGGGTTATAAGCATAAACATTTCCATCAAAGATGGTAACAGCAATACACAAATATGAAAACAGCTTTAAACTCAGAATAAGTACAGAAAATTACACTTATTCAAGTCCCATTGTTTTTTCTTTAATGTACAAGTCAGTTCTGAGCACAACAGGCTTTACTCTGTGCCAGAGCCATTACTCCTCTACCTCCACACTACCCACTCCCAGTTAACTAGGGTGACTTTCCACACATGTATGTATTGCAGTACCATTTACTGAAATCGATCTGTAAAGAATGGTCAACGGTGAGATCTGTTGGACAGGCAGGGTGGACTTTCTTAGGATCACCTCCAAGACTTTTTACTGCCTCCCTCATAGCAGCAAAATCCACCATCGCTGGTATTCCACTGAAAAATAAAGAACAATCAAATTACAGGTCTAAATGCTTAATACTCACTTGCTTCCATTTTTAAAACCATCTCTTTTTAGCTGTGTGTCTATTTTTGATAATGTACTTCTGATTTAAAGTTAGATGTACCCCCTAGTTTAATGAGAATCAATACCAATAGTATCTGAGAACTTTAGGAGTAGAACTGCCAACATCAGAAGAGATGACTTGTGGAGGTCTAAGTGAACACCATAATTGGCTGTGCAATTCTCTCCTCTAGGCCCTTCCTCCACAGCCCTTGCATTATCTCAAAGCTATCCATAATAGCCTTTTTACCATTTTATATTCACCCATCTGCATATATATGTAAAACAAACATGTACCAAATGACTTCAATATTTTTCATACTGAAGATACCACTCAAACGTTTAGTTCAAGATTCACACTTCCATAAATATCCCATAAATAGAACAGGAAGGGCCAGTCTTGCAGGGTGCTGTAAAGAAACGGTACTTGATTTTGAGATGGAAGGCTGCATATATGGAGGAATGAATGATATAACTTAAGAATTTTAAACAAATCAGCCCATACTGAGTATTCTACATGTGGAAATGAGGCCATCAAGTTAGAGGCAAATGCACTTACAATACAAAGTAATATAAAAATGAGGCTGTCACTCACGTAAAATCTTGAAGAACAACACGGGCAGGGAAAAAGGGCACTTCAACATTGCTTTGTTTGGTCTTCCAGTCCAAAATGTTCATAACATCTTCCTTTTTCATTAAAAAGCCATCACAATTTCGTACAGCAGCTTCCAACATGACCCGTATTGAATAAGGCAGAATATCTGATTACAGACAAAAATATTACTATAACCAAGAGAACAGTCATATCTACACATTGCAGAAATTACAACAGCAAAATCCTCAGTATAAATATAGAAAAAGACAGAGTATCAACTAATTACTTGAGTATTTCATACTAAAGAATGAAGACACCCCTATTGTCCCAATTAGTTTTAAATGTAAACTTGACATAGTCTGGAGTAATTAATCGAGAAACTCCCTAGATCAAAATAGCCTGGGGGTTGTGTCTGGATTATCAACTAATGTCGGAGGGCCTAGACCACTGTGGGCAGTACAAAGTCCAGGCAAGGCGGTCTTGGTTTGGAGAAGGAAGTAAGCCAGAGTGCAAGCCAGAAAACAGCTTTCCTCCATGGTTTGTGCTTCAAGCTCCTGCTTGGGTTCCCACCCTGTCTTTCCTCAAAAATGGGCTGTGACCTGGAAGCCTAGGATGAAATAAATCCTTTCCTCCCTTAAGTCACTTTCAGGCATGGCATTTGTTATAGCAATAGAATAAAACTAGAATACCTATAACATCTTCAAGTGCAGGCACCAAGCAGACAGAGTGAACTGGAAGGAGGGTGAGGCTACATACTCTCAAAGTCTGACCAGTGACATACTCCAATGACTCCAGCCAGACTGAGCCACCTCCCTCAACAGTGATAAAACTGGGAACCAAGCGTTCAAGTAACTGAAACTATCTATGTGAGACATTTCTCATTCAAACCAGCACCACACACAAAATAATACATGGATAAATACATCATTTTAAAAGAATTGCAATGTTTATAATTCACAAGAGCCAACAGAAGGAGCCGAACCAACATAATTTTGAACAGTATGACGTGTATCTGGTCATGGGCTAAGTAGACCAACCACCCAAAACACACTGGCAATTAGACTGCCGGGGGCTTCCGAGCTGGCACAGGAGAAACTGGAAAACTATGTAGTAATGCTTCAAATTTTCAAGTCAGAATTCTTTTTGTTCCTCAAATTTATAAACTGGTGAACAATGAATAAATCCATTTTATTTCCCAAGTATCTTCCTTTCTTAAGTAGCTTATGGAAGATATGCTTGTAGAAGAATTTTAAGTAGAAAAAAAGACGATACTATTCTCCACATTAGCAAGATTTGACAGGAAAATGTGAAAAAAAATGGAGGATAAGATGAAGTGTTGGCATGCCCTCTTACAGATGGCAAGTAAGTGGCATAAGAAAAGCTGGTATTCCTAGGCGAAAAACTGACAAGAAGTCAAACAGTACTTGTGAGCCTCTGGACAACTTTAAAACCTGAGCAACAATTTATCAAGGAGTTAGGGTACGTGTGAAAAGACTCAGTTCATCTTAGGAGCATACTTAAATTATTTAAGCTGGTGGTACAGCATATTAAGGAGTGGAGACTGATCAAGAGTCCAACTATAGCAGAAAATGCAGCAGACAAGAGTAAGTTCTGCTCTCCCTTTCCCTGGGCAGGATGAACAGAAAAGCCAACATCATCCAGTTCATGAGGCATGGGGAGATACAGACGCCCAATGACAACATCCAAGGTGAGAAATTAGGATGGTTCTCTGGATTACAGAAAGATAAATGAGGTGCTTCTCATCCATCATGCTGAACCCAAGATTGCTTTTTTGAGGAAACAATGGACAGAAATAATGGGTATTCTTTCTTTCTTTCTTCCTTCTTTCTTTAAATAATGGATAATATTACACAGGATACTGGAATTTGCTTATGTTAGTGTCTCTTTAGATGCTGAATCTAGAAGCAAATTGCCAATTTCTTGGAAAGATCTAAGATATTGGTAGACCTTTAGAGACCCTGTCTACAGTCTCTGAAGAAAAAAGAAAAATAAAGAAGTTTTACACAATACTAATCCCCAAGTATCTTACAGTTTTGAAAAAGCATCAGGAAAGACAGTAAAATCAGCAGAGACAGAGTTTGAAGAAACTATGTGGGTGGAAAAATGAATGTCTATAAGCCATAATTATTTAAAAATAAGCCACAGGCAGGTTACCTTCCTATATGTTGCTGGTCAGAGAGGCCCAAGTCATAAAAACTATTACTGCTGCTTTTGTTACATGCCAGAAATAGATGGTAAGTTCTTGTTGCTGCTTTAACTGAACAAGATGAAGAAATAAAGATGGAACTGAAACAAATGTTCCTTCCCTGTCTCTGACATTATGCAGGCTCCTGTGGCAACTGTCACTGATGTACCTGCTTGAGTATAAACCCTGAGCCCTGTACAACCAACATGTCACTAGTGAACAGTGGCACTGGCTGTCACCGATTTCCGATTTAAAGCCCACTCCAGGAGAGGGCCTGTGTTTTTTTTTTTTTAATTTTATCTCTACTTTTTTCATTATATACACCAATCCGAGTTCCCACTCTCTCCCCTCCTCCCATCCCCTCCACTTATCCAGCCTGTGTTTGGTTTGTAAGCCAGGGCAAAGACCTGTAGCTCTGGAGGCCATATGCCCTGGTGGGAGGCTGCTGCTACTGTTTTGTTAAACAGATGTTATGTGCCTGTCAAATGCCTTCTAGACATCTGTATTTACTCCTGCACTTACTACTGCTGTCTGTTGTAGAGGGAGTCTTTTATGTTTTGTAGTGGGTGGTAGTTACTGTAGAGACTCTAGAGTCAAACTCCCGAGAGTAAGTGACTATTCCTATAGCATAGTGGCCCAGTGCTAAGCTATAAAGGGGAGAAAACGAGACATGTACATTTCCCATTTCTAGTCAAGGCTCAGGGAATAGTTTTACAGAAGGCACAGAAGAAATGGAAGAGGAGGAAGAGATGGGAGTGTTATGTAGCTGCATTCTTCATATTGAGACATTCTCTCCTGTAAAGAGGAGGGAGGCTGAGAAGACCCAGGAAGGGTCACAAGGCCTTTCCTCTTAGCAGTAAACAATCGCAGGGAGAGCAGAGACTCTATCAGCTGTTATGAATATCCCATATTCCTGTAAGTAACTCAAATAACCCCCTGGTTCACCAAACATGACTGAAGTAATCTTTCTGGTCTGTTGTCTGGAGAAAAGAAGCATTTTTTTTTTTCAATTTTCCCCAAGAATAGCCACACAATACTTAGCTTTTCTGCATTTTCAGTTAGTCTGTATTACTTCCCTTATTCAAGAACTGCTTTTTTAAACAAAATCAATTAAATTGAGACATATTTTGCATCTTATATTTTACCCTTTCCAAATGAGCAATTTAGTATTTTTTTAGTTCATCCCTATTACATTATGTATCCACAGTTAATTTTCTTTTATTAAGTGGTACTCCATTACTCACCCTTGTGCTTCAGTTTACCAACTGTAGGATTTAGGGTGGTACAATTTTTAGCTCATATGAACAAGGGTTCCTATTTTTCTTGTGCACATACATAAGAACACTATGTACAGAGGTTTGGCAGTTAAGAATACTGGCTTCTACAGGAACCGAGTTCAATTCCTAGTACCCACAGACGGTGGCTCACAATCATCTGTGACTCTAACTCCAGGAGACCCAACACCGTCCTCTGGCCTTCACAAGCATCAGGCACACACATGGAGCACAGACATACATGCAGGCAAACTATCCATATATATAAAATAATAAAACATAAATACACATAAATCTTTAAAAAAAGGACACTCTGTATATACAATAGCTAGGTCATATGATAAGTTTATGCTTAGCCACTAGTTCATTCATTCACTGGTGCTATTAAGAAGGGTTGAAACCTGGGACTTGTAGATGCTAAGCAAACATGCTCCCACTGAGCTACATCCACAGCCCAACTATCTTCCGAAGTGGTGGTATCCTTTTATATTCCCACCAGCAATGAATGAGGCTTCTATTTTCCATATCTTCCCTAATACTCATTTTGTCTCTGGCATCACACCCACCATGCCTAGTTAAGAATTCTAATAGCCTCTCAGCAAGTTAACAAAGTTAACAATTTCTCCTTTCAAACTTTTTCTATAGACTCACACAACAGCTCTCTGCAATTTTCTCCCCAGCATGCCATTTAAAGACAGTTTTCCATGCCTTCCAAATGATGTGCCAAAAGGCACTAAATTCCCTTTGTTTGTTTTCAACCTGTAGGTTGAGACCCCTTTGACAAACCTCTATCTCTAAAAATACTTACATTATGATTCATAACAGTAGTAAAATTAGTTATTAAAAGTAATGAAAATAATTTTATGGTTGGGGTTACCAGAACATGATGTATTAAAGGGTTGAGAACCACTACTTTAGAGCAAAGAGTAGACAATGTTTATTGCCCATTTTAAAGATTCAGGTTCCATTAGTTCTCAGTTTCACATAGCCAGCTTCTATTACAGGTATTACGCAGCCCTATTCAACATGCCTGTTAAGAAACCAACACAGATATTGTCAACTTCTTCAAATGTAGGCTTACTTCTCACACGTTAGTGCTCTCCCTAGAAGCTCGAGTTGCTACTGTAGCTTCAATCATGCCTATCTACCCACCCTCACTCACTCCAGATCTAACCCAGTCTACATCACCAATAATCCTAAAACGTTTTCTGCAGATCAGATTGGTCTTCTAAACTCCAAAACTACATACCTAGTTGCCTCCCGGTAAGTTCCCACTCAAGTGATTTTCACTCTGCCCTGGCTCCTTACTGCCACCTCTGGTTTTACTTCCTGTCACTATCATCCATTCAGACATCTATGTCAGCACAAGCATCACAGCTGGGCTTGGGCACAGGCAAGATCAGAAGTTTAAAGGCTGCTGTGAACTAGAGTAAAGTTCAAGGCCATCGTGGTCAACTTATTGAAACTTTATCTCAAAATGAAAAATGAAGGAAGGGTTGAAGATAAGAGTTCAAATGAGTGCTTGCCTAGCATGCTCAAGGTCTTAGGTTCAATGCCCAGTACAAGGAGTTTTTAAAAAGAAGCACTGTCCTTTCTTTTTGGTTTTTCAAGACAGTGTTTTTTCTGTGTAACAGCCCTGGCTGTATAGGAACTCAATCAGTAGACCACTGACCTCAAACTCACAGA